AAAAAAAAAAACGAAGTCCAGATGACATGATTCAACTTTTTTGTTGTTATATACCTGGATGACTGAGAAAACAAACTTTGTGTTTAGCAATAACAGCATTTTAAGAGGGGGACAGTTGGACACAGAGCCATTAAACGGGGGCGGAGCCTCCGTGTCCAACTGTCCCCCTCTTACAATGCTGTTATTGCTAGTATCAGCTGTCTGTGAATAGCAAGCAGTAGTAGTGTGCGATACAGCAAAATTTGGTATTGATCGATACCAAGTAAATACAGGTCCAATATCGCCAGTACCGATACTTTTAAATATTTGCAGTGAATTTTGATGTTTAGGTGTTTTGTGATTTTTCCTTTGTTTCATTTATTTGTTAAAACCCAGGATAGAATTAGGCAAAATGTATAAGTAAATAATAAATACTTTATTATTTTTAAAAAATTTCTGAAAAAATAGAACGGTAACTAAACAATATTCCCCATTACCTTGTGATGGCTGGATTTTTTCGTTAAAGTGCACAAAATGATCACTCAAGAATAAATTAAAACATGTTCATAAACTATGATAATTACATAAAAATGATCCCTTCATTGCACTCCTTTTCTGGATTATTATTTTCTTAAATAAACAAATCGCAGCAAATGTTCTAGAACGGTAAAATATATTCAGGATATAAAGGAATAAAACAAAATTTCTCCTCTTAAGTGAATTTCTGGGTTTGAAAAAATAACTACAAATCAAAAATAATTAGTGTAAAAAACAAAAATTACACTGGTATTGATCAATACCTATGATTGGTATCGATATTTGGATCAATCCGCTAGCAAGGCGCCATCGGGGCACTAACGATTATCTTGTGAACAGCTAGTTCTGGACGTCAACAACAAACTGGTTGATCCACTATGAGAAGGTTTTATTTATAAGACTGAGTTTGTTGCAGCTCCTCAGACTGAAGAAGTCCTTTGGATAAAAGACGAAACGTTTCAACAACAAGAATCCATCCAGATTTTTCTACCTGGATTATTGAGCACGCCGCCGGTTATTTGGTATTAGTTGTTGCAAACTGCTGCCTGAGCTGTAGCAACACTTGCACATTAAACAACAAAATTGTATAGAAAAATGTTTTTATTACCGATACACAGTTCAAATAAAACTCTGAACAAATCATTCACACAGTCCATTGAATAAAACGGTGGCACGAGGATATAGAAAAGCAAAACGTAAGGCAGGTTCTTTACGAAGAAAGTGATCTAAAAGTAAACGACAAATTAAAAAGGCACAAGGTATACTGCAGATATATGTACGTCTTTAAAAAAAAACATGCAGGCACATCAGGATGGAGCGGGAGGATTCGAATGAGTCTTTAATGTCGGTGGCGCCTGAGCCACGAGACGATACTGGTTGAGGTAAACGGCGTTTAATCCTTTCACTATGGCTTCTCGGAGAACCCCCCCTTCGTATAAATCTAGTAGAGAAGGTCACTAAACACGAGTCTTTGGTAAATCAAATCCTAGAAACACAAAGATCTGTTTCAACGTCTGACCAGCAGGGGGGAGCAGAGGACGGTGATCGTTCCTTCCGAAACCAGAGCAACAAAATCAAAATGGAGCCATGAAGGTTGTTTACATTGGAAGATCAAAAACCTCGTGTTGGCACCTCGTTGTGGAGAAAAGGCCGTCTCGTCAGAGCATGAATGATTGTGTGTGTTTGAAGTCCTGCAAGGAACAGAAAACATTTTTACCGGAACGTTGTTTACTCCGGCTTTTTATTAGCTTACGCTCGCCGAGTACAAAAAAACCCAAACGTTTACCTCTTGGGGTGGCGGGATGTAGTTGACGTTGGACCTGAAAGACAAAGCTGCGGTGAGGACACGGGACAACCGGATCGTCGTAAACGTAGCAGTGTGCTGCGAACCTTTAGTCCGGCGGGACGTTCAAGAAAACGGTAGATGGTTGTGCAGCCGACAGTATTTAAAGAATATACATCGCGAAGCGGTCTGCTTTGGTCGAACTGGCTAAAATTAAAACTTCTCGGGCTTGTTTCAAAAAGACAAAATTACAAATCGTACCCTGAATGGAGCATATTAATTTTTGTTGGAAACGTGTTTATATTTCTTGCTGTTTTTGACCCACGAGCGACGGTACTTTGCAACGATTGCATCACTTTCTATAAACTGGTGAAACCTTTAAAATACACTTAAAGTCTACAAAATGTTACTTAATTGACCATATTTTGATTATGATCGTAACGTTTTCATGTTTGGATTAATTAATTAGTGTGTTCTGTTAAATGACGGCAAAAAAAAAAAAAAAAAGATTAAACCTAAAAACTGTAAAATATCTAAAAGCTTTTATTGGCGGTCGTTAATGACAAACTCAGCAGCTGGAAACCACGATTCCTTAAATATTTTGCCTTTAAAACGTTAAAACCTTTTCATAAATTAATTTTTGATCTGTGACTAACTTTTTTAGCAATTGTTTCAGATGTTTGCTTTTCCTTGAACTGTGACGTCTACTGCAGGTAAGACACTGACTACTCCATACTCCGACAGATTATTAAATAAAGTACATTAATCTTATAAATTTTAAGCAAACAAGCAAAACATGTCAAACCACACTAGTTTTAAAGGAGTCTAATCTCTTTTTACTTGTGATCTGTAGATTAAGGGTCAAATTACAGGTTTTAGTGTTTACTGTAATAAAATTTAGACTTTCTTCTTATTCCATCATTATTTAACACCCCGTAAATTAAATTAACGTGTCAAATGAGTGGTTTGTTACTGTCGAGCACAGATTCAGGGACAAAGTCTTTATCTTGTTAGTTTAATCCAGCCGAGTGGAGGGGGGGTACCATTTCCTGGCGTCTGTGCCGGTAATGAGATTTAAACTCTTCCGCCCTCACGGGTCACTCACGTGTCTTCGGTTCTGTGCAGGGTTTGGCTGCTGATGTGGGCTGCACCGGGGCACTGGGAGATCCAAAAAGACCTGCGGAGTGGGGGGCTTTAACAGGGCTGGAGTCGTCTCGGACTCAAACTGCACACCATGCTGGGGTCAATTTACCGGAGAGTCCGGTTGTTTCAGTCATTTCAAAGGGTTCCTATAGTTATAGAAGCAGCTTGATTTTATTTTGAAGCCTGACAGCTCGTTCCGATATAAACACATTTTATTGGACTTGAAGAGATTGTATTAAAGATGTGTGGGTGACTCCTCACCAAGGATTTGATGCTGTTTTTCTGTTTCTAACCCTAAACTTACTGACAGTGAACTCAAACCAGAAGAAGAAAAATAAGATTTGCTGCTTATCAGCTCAATTGCTCAAGGACAAACGTCACCAGTTTTTCGGAAACTACCGACTTACCAACTCTATTCAAGGGGGAATAAATACGTTTTTTGGATTATTTGTTGTTGTTTTTTTTCAGCGTGGCTGAATTAAATTCGGAGTTTTTAGTCTCTTCTAGATGGGAAGACAAATGTTTAACTAGAGAACGAGGTTTAGTGGCTTTGGTATTTGGATAATACCAATATGGAGACTAACTCAGTGTCTAAATAGATCCCAAAATTTAAAGGGATAGTCCGGTCAACTTTAACCGTATAAGCGGGGGGGGGGGGGTTGAAGGAAGAGGCACTAAACTCATTTGGCTCTTATCTTGTGACTGGACTATACCTTCAAACCAGCTTTAAGCTTTTCTATGTTTTCGAGACACTTTTTACCCGGACGAGCCCCCATTTAATATGTTGTGTTCCTGTTGCATGTAACATCCACTCTGTTTTCAAGCTTGCGGAACAAGTTGCCAACAGAAGAGTTGCTCGATCGGTAAAAAACTGTCTCGTGCTAAAACCTCACAAACCTGGAGCTACATTTCTACGTAGGCGAAACTGTGCCGACTCACCCACCATCCACAACATTAAAGCTGCTGCGAGTCTTCACACAGCGGAGATAACGCTGCAAACACAAGTTTAAATTGTTGAGCTGTAATTTTATCACGGTGGTTCGTATGGAGATACGCCAATGCATATACGGTTTTTCAAATGTACTTATTTTGAACTGCACAAGTAGGAATCTTCTGCGCAAACATATTGTCGAATACACGTGCACGGATCATGTGAATGTGATATTTGAGACTTTTCTTACCACTCCAAATATTCACCCGTACATTCCACTAAATTAACATTTCCTATTTGTGGATAAACTACCGGGAAAATATCCGGTATTTTCCGATACTGGTTCTTACTTAGCTAAAACTGCTGGGAAAATACATTTTCCAGTAATTTCATCCTCAGGGTAAAATAAAATGTTAGTAAATAAACATCCCAAAATGGATAGATAATTCTTCTTCTAATAAAACTTCAAGTATATAAAAGTTAAATTTTCCACATAAAGAATAACCGACTCATTTTAGGTTACTTTAACCATACGGTCCACAAAATTAACTTTTTATTTAATCCAGTAACGTCATGCTAATGAAGCGTTTTAATATTGAGCTCCTGTGCCAAATTTAGAAATTTGTCTTTTCACCAACCTTGTACTCAGCGTTACTTTTGTGAATCTGGACCAGTAAGAAAGTGTCAAAAGTCACGTTCACACACACTGATGAGTGCGCTTGTGTTAAATGATTTGAAAAACTATTTACGCTTGTGAGACCAATCTGTTGTACCCTTTGAAATGACTGGCAGGAACTAAAACCACATGAATGATGTAATAAAACCATGCAGCCAATCACGTGCAGTAATCCGACACCCTGGTGTTACAAAAATTCAATGGGTCTCTGCTTTGTCCTTTCAATTCTGCAGCACCTTTAGCTTAACTACTTGCTTAGAATTAAACTATTTGGGTAAAATATTACTTACAAACTTCCCACATAACCTCACTTAAATTGATACTTAATAATTGGAGTCCCTCTAGGCTCGTATTTAGGCTCACTCAAATTGATAAATTGTTTAATAATTGGAGTCCTTCTAGGCTCATTCAAATTGATAATTGTTTAATAATTGGAGTCCCTCTAGGCTCATATTTAGGCTACCTACAGCACATTAAGTTACAAGCTTCCATAAAAAAAACTGTATTAAATTTTTGTCAATAACATGTTTTTCTAAGGTTATAAATTAACAACTAAATAGCTGTTCTGCCTTCCTCCTCTGTAATTTTCTTTTTGCCTGCTATAAGTGCTTCGGATTGCCTTTGTGAAGAAGCCTGCTCTATAAATAGGACGTTGACACTGACAGCTCCAGTTAGATCAGCAGGATAAGTAAACCTAGACAAAGAGCTTCAGAGAAGAAGCTCAACGTTGATTCTCCATCAAACTTGCAGCCGAAACATGCCGGTAATCAAATAAAACCAGGCCAGGCAGACGGATTGATGTCCCTGTGGTTTTATGAAAACCTCCTCACGCCCACTCGTGTTCGCTACGCAGGGGGCTGCGATTGCGTGGGACGCACAGCACGAACAGCCTTCTGTTAAACCAAAAGTCTCATCTTTTAATATCTGAATAATCCATCTGAAATTACCCGTCCAATCGGTTTAATTGTCTGCGGTTGTTTCTGCTGCCAATGTCGTCCTTACTGAGTAACGATTCCCTAATTATGTGGCTCTCATTGTTTCTCCTCCATCCATTTTTAAATGTAGCTTCAAATATTTGGCAAAAAAATCCTTTCCTACCATCTTGCATCTAAATAAACACGAGTCCTGACTCAGCACGCGGGTGCAGACACACAACAAGAAACCGACTCCCCCGCAGACCTCCGTGTGTGAGATATGAGTGTTTGTTCACATCAATGTTAATCCAATCAGAGCTCTTACCTTCCTCTGTGTCCTGCTGACAGATGAGTCGCAGACAGTGAGGGAGAGAAAACAGACTCGGCGTCAGTCATTGATGGACAGGGTGAATGTTTGTCTGCTGTCCGGTAAACTTACGGGTGAGGAAACCGTTCCGGTGCAAGAGGAGTCCCCCGCAGCCGCAGACGATGCCCAGCAGGCAGACCACCAGCACTACCGCCACCACGGCGGTGACGTTTACATCCTCTGAAAACCAGATGGAAACGGACAATAAACTATTTCACATTATTAAACTGAGTCTGTCTTTTCCTTCACCTCCTCCAAAAGGAAAGGTTTACAAAACAGTGGTGAGACCAGCTGTGTTGTATGGTCTGATAGACAAAAAGACAGGAGACAGAACTGGAAGTGGCAGAAATGAAGATGTTGAGGTTCTCCTTAGGAGTGACAAGAATGGATACGATTAGGAATGAGATCGTCAGAGGTACAGCACAGGTTGGTCAACTGGGAGATAAAGTTAGAGAGACCAGACTGAGATGGTCTGGACATGTCCAGAGGAGGGACAGTGGGTATACTGGTAGAGGGATGTTAGAAATGCAGCTGCCAGAAAAAGGACAAAGATGAGATCTATGGATGCAGTTAGAGAGGACATGGAGGGAGTTGGAGGACTCACTGTGGAGACCCCTGAAGAAAGAATAGCCAAAAGAAAAAGACCAAAGGTGGTGGGCAACATGCTTCTATCATAAAGACTCAGCTCTGAGGCAGGGTGGCGTGTGGAACACACACCTACTGTCATGTGTTTCCCCTCACACATTTTGGGTTGTCCCACTTCGTTTGACGCCAGGCAGCTGTAGTGACCCGTGTCCTCTTTGGCCACAGACTGAAACTCCTGGAGACGGTTAAAAGAAAAGTACAAAACTTGGGGCATGAAGGAGAAAGTGTGGAACAGCATCCAACACATACACACTCCAGCTGTCGGCTGTGTATTTATTTTAATCCGCATGCATAATGTCTCACCAGTATTCCCGTTTGGGAGTTGATCAGATATGTCGCATTAGCACGGCGGGGCGGGCTGATTGGCTTGCTGTCCTTGAACCAGGAGTACTTAGCAGGTGGGATGCTCTGTTGGTCCCAACAGCGCAGCTGCACCACTGAGCCCGTCACGGCTGAGGCAGGGATTTCACAGGACGGGGTGTGTGGAGGCACTGAGCGACAAACAGATTAAACATGAGCAAACGGAGCAGAAGACGTCTCGGGAAGTTTCGAGCTTTGCCGGTTAGCTTTACCCAGGACTTTGAGCGTGATGTTGGTCTCTCCCAGGTTGACGATGTCCAGATGAGCGCTGACCTCACATCGGTACTCTCCGGCGTCCTCCTGGGTCACACCGTGCAGCGTCACCGTGGCCCCTTCGATGGTGGCTCGGCCCCCAAAGGAACCTGAGAGGAACATCGGAAGGTCATGAGCGGAAATGTCTCGTCTCGCTGAAGGCTACAGCTGATGTAACGTAGCCAAATGTTGGAGCTGTTCAATGTCTCAGACTGATGTGTGAGAAATTTAAAAGAAAAATTATGTCTGAATTTACAACAGGAGCCACTTTGACGCCACAAGGTTTAGGTTGGTAAGACATAAACCAACAACTAACCAGTGAACTTCAGTGAAAATCATTTTCATAAAAAAGTTGACTCCATGTTTACAAAGTTTTAACTTCCTGGCCTTGAACTAGTTAAAAAACAAAATGGTATATTAAAATAAAAATACAAGCTTATGGAATTACACAGGGCTTAATTTGTAAACCAATCTATGCCAGAATGGGTGGGAGACGTGTCTGGGGGTCCTTCCCCAGAAAATGAATAAAGTCGATTTCCTGCATTTTGGTAAAGTTTAATGGGTTGTTAAACGTTACATTTATCTACATTTGTAATCACTCCACTTTTGTCTGGCATCCTGTTCTGGCAGGATCCAGCTCAAATTAAGCACTGGGATTACATCCGTAGAAACAGTTTATTTTTAATGTTTCAAATGGTTTTCAACATGAGCTAATTTACTCGTAAGTAAGTTCAGGCCTATTTCACGATGATATAAAAAACAGTATGCTGACTAAATGTAAAACCTTCAGTTTTAAAGAAAGCAAACCCTTCTGTTGAATACAGGAAAACACAGTGGTGTTAGTATCATGGTTCAAAGTACCAGTAGTTCAAATACAGCAATTTCCTAATTATACGAGTAAATTCTCATTTATCCATGACTGAATCTCAAGAAAAAGACAGTCAGGCTCCAAACAATGACCTAACGAGTGCCACATAACAGCGTACGCTCGTCGACCAAGGACTCGTTTTTCGACCAGCAAACTACCGGCATACAGTATATACAAACAATGGCAGAGACAAGCAAAGACTTTTGACCTTGATTAGTAACCTTGACCTTGAAGCTGGGGTGATGAAGTGACTAAGCAACACTCCGTCAAGTGATGATGCAGATGTGTATGAAGTTTCGTTAAATTATTTTGAATGGATCAGAAGTTACGGGCAGGACAAGAGAGCGTTTACGGACGTCCGTACGGAGACTATACCGTAATACGTATACGCCTTAGACGGGCGTATAAAAACACCTGAAGCTCCAAGGCCTGTTGGCCAGAAGTCGGCAGAGAGCACTAACTATTCATGTCACATTTTAAGCTTCTAAAGCAGCCGGTGAGGACGGACCAGAGGGTCAAAGACATTTCTTATCACTGACATACTTACCTCTAAAAGTGACTGCACCGGTGACAACTTCTGCATTCATTAGTTAAGTCTCCCTTTTAATTCACCCCCTCCCACTAAAACCACCAAGACGTGAGACTGAGGAGAGGAAACGGGCAAAGTTGGATCTACTGTTCCTTTTATTGCGCCCTGCGTTTCAACGAGTCGCTTTCTTACCTTTGAATTGTCCGTTGAAGTACACAAAGGAGACATCTTTCCCCGTTTTTTTCCACTCGATGCGTGGGTTCTGGTCAATCTCTGTGTGGAATAGGCATGACAGCACAGCATCTAAAGCAGAGAAAGTTCTTGAAATATTTCACTCCGTGTAATGAATCTAAATATTAACGAGTTTCACTTTCTGAAATGACTGACAAAACAACTTTTTCATGATGTTCTAATTTTCCGAGGTGCACCTGTATAGCCACCTGGTTTACTGTCAAGAAGAATCAAACTGAAGTGTCTTATTTTATTTTTTCTGGGGGTTTTACCTGAGAACTCCTTCACTTCCACCTTAGGTTCGTTGGTCGACACAGTTACAGAACAGGAGGGGGAACCTGGAAACAAAAACAAGGCAACTCATTGTTAGAGAACAAGAAGTTCACCTACAAACTGTACTTAGACGTGTACTTATGTCTGAAGGAAACCCAGCCAGCGTCTTTCTCTCAAAAGTCTGAAGGAAAGACAGGATTATTCAGTCCTCTTATTTAATCCCGCCGGGTCAAGGAAGAGATTGCCGTATGTTTATTTAAACCCAGGTTGAGTCAAGGTCACTGATGTTTTCACCAGCGGCTGCTCTGGATTAACCTGATGCATGAAGGTTATTCCTTCGGCCATCTGCGTGTCTTGATACCACGCATCCAAACAGGAAGAGGAAGCAGCAGCTGCTGATTGGTTCTTGTGATGGATTACAGTCTGGTCTACCAAGGAGAGGCCAACAGAAAAAGTTCAGACCTGTAGACGTGGGGTTTTGTAGAAAACGTACAAACGGTAATATACATTTTGTAGATAGCTCTTTGAACCGCTACTTGATTGCTGCTGACAAGTTATACTTCGAAAACTTTAAGGGTTTGTGTGAACGCGGTAAAGGGATTTCATTGACTTTACCGGAAGACCACGGATTGCCATCGTGGACGATTGAAGCATTTAGACTCAAGCAAGAGAAGTTGAAATGTTTCAATAAACCAGATGTTGTGGTGTGAATCCAGTCGCTAGCGATAACAGCCAATTAACGGTAAAAGTTTGTCCCTGTTCCCACAACTTACAGCAAAACATGAACGAGCGTTACACGAGTCTGTCAATGAGTCCATTGTTTGTCCTCCAACATGTCCAACAGGAGGTTTGCTAATATCAACTGAAAGCACCATGTCATCTCACTGGGTTGCAAGTGTTGAAGATGAATTACAAATGACTTTTGCAAGGGAGTTTCCAAAATGCGTCAAAATATTTGCAGGAGTTGTAGGGCCTCGCACTTGCGCTGATAAACGTGGTCTTTTGGCGTCTCCCTTCCGAAAGGGTCGCCACAGCGACTGAACTTGCATAAAAGATTTGACAATTGTTTTACACAGGATGACCTTCCTGACGGAGCCTGGGCTCAAACCAGCAGCCTCAGGATTACGACACCGCAGAACGACCAACCTGCGGCACACGAAGGTATAAAAACTTCTGCCACATTTGAGCCCCAATTCACCGGAAGTCTGTGCTTCCGGTGAATTTTCCGGTGAATTCATCTTGCTCAGTGTGAATCAGAGAGAAGGATTGGATATTTTTCTAGTGCCCATATATTTGCTGTAAAATTATTTACCATAAGGACTTTGTCTATATTCATTTATTATTTTTGTCAAACTGTTCATTTAAAAGTTTCAAAATTATCTGGAGTTGGTTGAAATTTGTTGAAACATGGTCTGGCAAAAAGCACGTTTTGTTTACGAGAGTGTCGGACTAAATGTCATTGGGAATTCCAGCCCTATATTTAAAATGCTGAACCTAAAAGCTTCACAACAATGAAACTTACTATACGAAGGGATTTCCCTGCGCCATAGCCACTTGACAGAAAATGTCATTTTCAAAGGAAATTATAATCCTTAGACGAAGCAATATTTCTTAAGATATAACTGTTCCAAACTTTGATTAAATTGGAGATTAGGAAGATTATATGCTGTTTTAATTACTGGGATTGCTAGATGGCATCTTTAGGGACACATTTTTAGGCGAATCTTAATTATTTATGGCAAAAATAAGTATTTTCACAAATTTTGCACTGCAGCCTGAACTCATTCCGAGTTGTTTTAAGATCAGTTTTTCACTGTAGTCTTGGATTAGAGTAACCGTTAAGAGAATTTACCCACATTAGTGCATACCCTTTACCCAACCATTGTTCCAGCAAATGAAAATCCTAAATTTAAAATCCGCTATTCAGAGCTTCACAGTCCTGTTTGTCTGCAGCTTCCTGCGTCGGCTCTGTTGTTGTTACTCTACGTGTCTAAGAGTCAGAAAGGGCTTCCTCTGCAAAAGGACAAGATGATGCTGAAGAATGCGGGGGAAAGCAGAGACAAAGGCCAGGAAGAGTGGAATAAAACAGCATGACAGGAGATGACCGGAGAAAAGTGAGAAAGCATTATGTATATAAAAAAAAGGTCCAACTTGGACTTTAAGTCTCCCGCTGGTCCTGAAAGGCAATAAAGGCAATAATGTTTTAGCTTGTTCCTGTTTTGTCTGTTACTAAACGTTCTCATTACCTCATTACTGTGTCATCCTCTCACCTCCAGTAGAGGTGGTGAATTCAGCTGACCTCAATGGACTCGAGTTATTCTGAGGAGATCTGGTTCACTTCAGTTGATCGTACTTCAACCACATTGCCCACTACCGAAAAATAAATATATCTATATGTACACACATACTAGTGTATATACACGTATACAAATACATATATACAAGTATAATTGCATATCTACAGATACACAAATATGGCATGGATGGATGTAAGTATGTACTGTATGTACACCAGCTGGTCAAAGCAGATGGCCGCTTGTCCTGAGCCTGGTTCTGCTGGAGGTTTCTTCCTTTTAAAAAGGGAGTTTTTTCTTTCCACTGTTGCCACTGTGCTTGCTCAGGATGGGAGACTGCAACGAAGCCAAGATTCAACTTGTCTGCTGGATTCCTTAGATAGAGAACTTTACTAATTGGCTTTTATGTGAATGTTCCTGTAAAGTGCCTTGAGACAACTTGTTGTGATTTGGCGCTATATAAATAAATTGAATTGAATGTATGTACGTACATACGTAAGTAAGGATGTAAGTAAGGATGGATGGATGGATGGATGTACAGTATGTATTTTTGTATGTATGTATGTAAATGTATATACATGCATACATATGCATCATACTTATGTATGTATTTATGAATGGAAATTAGAAATGTACATATCAAATATAAGTTAACCAAGTTGTAAAACATGTAAATGTGTATGTAAGACTCATCTGAGTCAACAGTGTTTCCAGGGATTTAGCTCATTTTTACGTCAAGTCCGCTAACTCGCTGACTTAGCGGCAGTCTCCAGAGGGCGTGTATAATTATGCTTAATTGAGATCTCAGACTCGCGAGTCTTGATTTAGTGCGACTATTCGCTTCATTGACCTGGATGAGTCAGAAACCAACTTATGAACCAGTTTGACCAAAACGGCTACAACTCTGTCATTTCTGAACATGCCGTGACTTTACAGTAGCTTTTCCTCGAGCTGTTCACAGCAGCTTGATTGGGTCAAGATTTAGTCCCTGTAAAGGAGACGTACACTTTCCTCTAGACGGTTTCTCCTCTTTTCCCTTTGACCTGTCGCGGTTTAACAGGATTATCGTAACTTTGTCCGACGTGCCACGGCACCTCCCGAGAAGCACACTGCCACCAAAACACATACAAGACGGGGACGGAGAATGCAATCAGATTAAAAGGGGACTAGGATGAGCGATCAAGGAGAGATGAGGAGATGAGCGTCCCTAAGAATAGAATACAAATGGAGTGAAGGAGAGTGCGGCGGAGGGGGTGGGGGGCACAGTGGCAGAGAAGGGGGCCTCAAGACCTGCAGGGACATGAATAAAAGAGAAGACGAGGGAGATCTTTCTCGACACTAGGACTATGAACGGAAGTAGCTCGTGTCATACAGCGACACAACACAGTGGCAGCAGCCAAGGCCTGCTGCCACCTTTAACCATGTCTCTTTGAGAAAAAAGGAAATGTAACAGGTCAACACACATAAAAGTGCACGAGCCAATTGCTCGGAATGTGAACTCCCACTGCTTCCACATCGTATTTCACAACTGCGTCATCTAACATGACCCCAATTAACCACAAAGGCATCAAGGCTACTTTCTTCTTCGCTAGCCAATCGACCACTTCTGAGAGACTTTTAGTATTTCAGCCCTTATCCAAGCTACGTTTTTTTTGCAAATACTTCCAATTATGTAAGGAGCAATTTTATACCACCGTGGAGATGCACCTCTGCTCTCATTGGTACGTTTCACCCATGAACAAGGAACGTTAGTATCAAACACGCACTGTTATGAACTGTCGGATTTTAAAAGTAGCCATTTTTGTTCTAAGAAAACCAGAAGACCCCATTATACACCCAGCCTTGTTACTTTGGGGACAACTGCTGAAGAACAAAGACACGCAAGTTATTTTGGTGACCAAATCAAATCCAACCCCAAGATAAAGGTCTCAGATGGGATTCACAAGAAACTGGGACTGCATCAATTTAGGTCAGACGTGGGAAAAAAGTGACGCTGGTGTCAAAACGAGCTCTTCAACAAAATGGCAGCGAGTCTTTTCCACAGCCACCCCTCAGATCTCCAATTGTGGACACAGTCGGTCAACAACATTTGTCCATGTAGCCGAACAAACGACTAAGAAGAGTTGGGATGTAAGAGTTTTAACATTTTACATGCAAAAATCCAAATATCTACACAGCAAACGTGGCAGATTCTAGAGCTTAACTCCCAAGTATTGGCTGTTCAGGCTAAAAGATTCATACCTTTTCACAATACGACATTCTGTTTTGCAAGCGTGCTTCCTAAACACTGCAGACATGCCAGGCCGGTGTTTGATCTGTGCACCTGCAGCCTCAAATACCTCATGCCAAAAATAAGTGTAACAAATTTGCTAGTAAATACTTATTTTAGCTGCCGTCCTACCATCTGTGCTGGGTTTGATCAACTCCGAGCTGCTGGTTTAAAAAGGAATCAGCTCCAATTAGCAGCATCCTGCCAAAGTTACGTCAATGTTTTACTTCCAGAAATAACCCACAACGTTCATCAGCAGTGAGGTTCGGGAATCTGTGGAGACGAGCCAAGTGTCTTTTGTCACATTTGACCAGAAAGGAGTCAGTAAATTGTTTATGTAGTTATTCATGTTCGTCCCATCAGCAGGTCTCTGGAGGTCGACCGACATGGCATCAGATACGACCACTACTGTAATTAAAATGCCTCAGCGCCGGTAGCGTATGTCATTAACATCAACCAAACTCCGTGACAGCTTTAAGCTCAGAGGGACAGCAACCGTATGGTAGCAAAAAAAAAGAAAGAAAATTAGAAGGATGGCACGCTCCAGCCTTGGCATGCAGCTTCATTCTCATTATGTGTTCTGTACAGAGCGTTAGAGACTGAAGGGGGGGTTAACCGGAGCTGAGCCAGGTCAAAAGCATGGCGCAGTAATAATTAAAGCACTTATTCAAATTAACAAGGAACAAATGGGAAAGGGAGGGATACGGACCCGAAGGAAATGTCCTGTCTGGCTGTGAGATGGAGATAAAGTGGATGGCACACGTTTCGAGGCTGTGGGGGTACAAAGAAAAACAGGATGCAGACACTGAGTGTGTCCTGAACAAAGGCCGACTGTACGAGAGCAACAGCTGTCCCTGGCAGATACAGCATGTGGGAGAGGCCGATACGAGGGGGAGTTGTTGGGTCCCTCGCCACGGAGACACACCCAGAACATTTCGTTCTGAATTTACTGAAACAGGACGATCTGCAAGAACCGGCGGACTCTCTCAGTGTTTGTTGTGTTGAAGTGTCGACGTCTGTCAGCGAGCCTGATGAGACTGAAACCCTCTGACCCCGTGACCTGACAGGTCCACATCTCATCACATAGATCTCATGTTGCCGCTGCGCCACCCAACTGAACCCCCTTACAAATGTCACAAAGGTTCCTACGCCAGGAGATAACCAGGTGGTAGTTGCAATGTTTAAAACCTTACTTCCACTAGTTTTGCCCACAAACCTCTAATCTCATGGCAGCATCCCAGAAACCAGCAGGAAAACCAGTTAGAAGTTCCTGCTCCAGCCCCCTCACACATTTACAACCCGTGTAGTTTTGAAAATCAGTGCCACTAGAAAACTTTCCAATACATTTCAGGGACAAACACCTCCGTCTCCCCAGTCCTAACATAAGACAGGTGTAACAGCAGTCTGGGTCTAAACCCGTCCCCTGACACCGAACAACAGTTCAGACACTCAGAGACGATCCAAACTACACAAACACAACGTTTCCACAGATGAACGGTTCCCACTCACACTGCATCAGTAACAGAACCACAGGAAGACAGAGGGACGTCCTCTCCATCTCTGGCTGAGAGGCAGATCCTTCAGATCACACTTGTCCACAACTCCTCGACCGATCATCCAGCATCCAGGGACCAAACTGCTGTCCAGACCGGAGGAGGAGTGAGGGAGGAAGGGAGGGAAGGAGGCGGCCGGACCAGAGCGCTCCGACGCGGTTCAGGCGGGAGGTCGGTGTCCGGGCGGAGGCGTCGGGCTGGGGGTGGAGAGTGTCCGTCAGCCACGACTCTTCGTCCTCGTCTTGCTTTCTGAGCTGGTCGAGACTGAGTGGAGAGGGAGGGAGGGAGGGAGGGAGGAGCAGAGCGCCGGGTGTGCAGCGCAGCGCCGCGTCCAAAAGGCGCACTGCAGCGCCAAACGGCTCCAAAACCACAAACACTGCTCCTGAGGACCAGAGATCTCCTCAACTCAGAGAGCATGAATCACGTTTTGAAAAAAGAATATCCAACAAATGTTCCGGGTTAAAAAAAAACAGAGACGTGGATGTACTTGTTTGTAAACTCTTTCTTTTAGGAAAGAAAACCCCACATAATAAAAAAAAAACGACTGAAAAAGTTATTAGTCATGACAAAAAAGGTTGAATCATGTCATCTGGACTTCGTTTTTTTTTTTTG